AGCTGTCTCCTTACCAACACCAGAATCACCACCTGAAAACAGGAAAACTGTGTTTATGATTTGAACAGGATACCTCCAGTCTCTTGGTGGGGGACAATAAATAATGCCCATCATATTGACAAGTTGCATATGGAACTCGAAAATCTTACTTCCCTGGTTACTGACGGTTTCTCTTCTTTAACACCTTACATAGCAGCATCTAGAAACTTGCTCATACAACATCAGATGGCTTTAGACATTTTGTTTGCTTCACAAGGTGGGACTGGTGGGCCTGGCTGACCCAAGGCGGATGGAAGGCTTAGGTAGCTCAATTATTGATCCCCCTTGCTTTGTTTATTCTTACTGTTTTTATTTTTGTGTGAACAAAGTTGGTTAAACAGGAGGGAGATGTAAAGGTTTTTATTATTATTCAAGATTTTAATGTACTATTACTTTCAGAAAGTTTAATGTTAACAAGTAAAGCAAAATTTCTTTAGTTTCCTCTCTCACTGGCTGAGGACTGGAGTCTGCATTCCATCAGAGATAAGAAACCTCCAGCGGCAGCGGCAAGCATCTTGCTGCTGAAAGAACTCACATATTATTTTTAATGATTTTTCTTTATTCGTTTATTCTCATTTTATGAACAATTTATTCAAGTCTTGTTGTGTACAGTTTTAATCAACTTTGCTCTTATTTTACATGTTCGTGCGTTAACCGACCCAGAAGCGGTGCTGAGAATGTTTTCTTTTCTCTCAGCCTGGCCCGTCATAATACCGCTGGCAGGTGCAAGTTCTGCAGAATATTCCCAGACTGTCTGTCTTTGTATTGTCTGAACGAACCAGTTGTATTTTGCTGTTTTTCTCTTTTTCTCCCAGCAACAGTAAAAGTAACTGGTATGCTGGTGGGCTGATTTTTTTCCCACTCCTCTTTTCCTGAAACTGAATAAAAATGATCACGCCGGATCAAACGGAGAGAACTTCGCTGTTTTCAACTGCTGTTAAGTTGGGCACATTTGAACCTCTCCCTTTGCGCAAAGTGTATCTCTCAAATTTTCACTATTTGTCTGATTTGTCTGATTTTGTTGGTTCACTAGGGTTGTTCATTTTGACTATTTACAGAGGAAAAAATCCAACAAAATCACTTTGTTTTTTTATGTTTTATTGGTTATTTATTGTTGATCAGGTGTGTTTACAAACAGCTAGGAGATTAAATCACTTTGTTTTTTATGTTTTATTGGTTATTTATTGTCGATCAGGTGTGTTTACAAACAGCTAGGAGATTAAATCACTTTGTTTTTTNAAAAGTCTTTTTATTTCCATGTGTTGCTTTTACATTTCTGCCTTTATTTCTACTGATGTCCGTTTCGTCCTCCATGCTCAGGAACGCTCAGGGACTCTGGAGTAGAGCTCACCTCCTGGCATGGCAGCAGCAGCAGGCTTACAGAGACGACCGCTCAGCCTGGGCTCAAAATAAATGTCTGCGGTGGGACGAGCGGGAGAGGAAGCTGCCGAACTTCCTGGACGAGCTCATCGACTGTCCGTGCACGCTGGCGCAGGCCCGAGCAGATACAGGACGGTTTCAGGTGAGCAGTGTGTGTGAACGCTTCAGCAGCGTTCACTCTACTGAGCTCAGTTTTTCTTCTCTACGTTTTTTGGCACGCATCTCGTTCCACAATTCTTGTACTATTTTAGCAATTTACATATCAAAACTTTTAACTCCTTTAGAACATTTTGGCTATGACTTTTGGAATTTCAGCTATTTATACTTGTCTAGCCATTTCACTTTTTTTTTGGCATCGTTTTCCCGTAGAAAATTAAAGTGCCTGTGACATGCAAATGTTTCAAATACAAAAAGTCAAAGAAAACATCTTTCTATTTTAGAAATTTGGCATACATATGACTTTACACATTTTGTCATATAACTGACAGATTTTCTTTTGAACTTGGCTCAGTAAAAGTAAAACAGGAAGTGACATCAAAGGGGAACTCTTCAAGAAGAGGAACACCCTGGTCTTTGTTTATTGAAACAATGTTACTTGAACTCTGACACTTATTCATCTCTTTATGATAGTGACTTGAAATAATCTAAAGAAATATCCGATTCTTCTCTACAGTCTGTGTTATTACTAATTGTCTTATTAACACTACTCACATGCAGACATTCCCCTCTGACATCACTTCCTGTTATTTCACATGTGAATATCTCAAGAACGGTTCATCTCAGCAGTGTGAAATCTGTTTTGCAACACCTTTATTAATGTTATTTTTCCAAAAATGTATTCACATCTAATACAAAACTTTGATGTCACAGGCACTTTAATGTAGGCTTTTTCATAATCCTTCAAACTCTTCCAAATTTTCATTAATCTTTACTGAACTTTTACGTATTAAGCTTCCTTTTCTTGTTGCTAATTTTAGCCTTTTTCTGCGATTTCTGGCTAAACTTCTACTCCTTTCTGCTATTCTTTTGCTGTATTGAACCTTTTTATGCTTTGTTCAGCTTCTTTTTGCTAATTTGAGCTTTTCATGCTTCTTTCAGTTCCTTTCTGCCTATTTCAGCTGTTTGCTGAAGTTTTAGCTGCTGTTCAGCTGTTATTGGCTAAAATTAATTTCAGCTTCTTTCTGCTAATTTTTTTTATTTTACTGTTGTTTAACCAAAGAAATACGATTTTTTCAAGGAAGGCCTGGGTCTGAAGGAAAACTATTGTACATGTTTTTTGGGGTGTGGGGGGAACCAGAGTATCTGGAGAAAATCCACACAAGCACGAGGAGAACATGCCAACTCCGCACAGAAAGACCCCCGGTCCAAACCGGGGATCAAACCCAGGACCTTCTTGCTGTGAGGCATCAGTGCTAACCACTGAGCCGTTGTGCTGCCAGACATGTGCTCCTTCTGCTTCTTTATGCTACATTCAACATTTTCAGCTACATTTTTGCTGTTTTGATAAACATTTCATCTGTTTTCTTTATAATAACTTTATTAATAATAACTTAATTTATGAAGCGCTTTCAAACAAAGTGCTGAACAGTTACAAAATGATAAAATCAATATAAAAAGTTGTGGGAACAAGTAAAACATTGAAAAAAGATAAAATACAAATGTAAAATTTAAGACACATAGGAAAAGGTGTGCGTATCTGGTCCCCACCTGTCGTTTTGCTCCTCAGCATGGCTTCCTAAAAACGCTGCAGGATTTCTCAAACATGCATGAATGAGTCAAAGCAAGGCTTTGGGCATGTTTTTTATGAGAGTATAACATTATAACATGATATAAAACTCAAAAAAGTTGATTTTACATGATACTGCCCCTTTAAACAGGTCGTGAGTTTAGATAGATCATGATTAATTCAACCTGTCTGTTAGCCTGGTTTGTAGCATGCTGTCCACACACAATAATTAGAATCATGATCTACACGGTACTTGAACCAAATTATGGATCAATCCAGGATACTGTGAAGCTGTTTTGCTGAAATGACAGAATCAGTAGCAGCTTCTTAAAGTGACAAAGGCCAATTTGAAGGTGTTTAGGAACGGCTATGAAGTCAAATTTATTTTTGATTTGTACATATAAACCACATTTTCGTAACAACTGAAGGTGACACAGTTGCTTAATTTTGGTATAGATTTTGTATTGAGTTGACTCTCGCACCACACCACAGTGGGTGAAGAAATGGCACTTTTTCTTGTCGTGCAGCAAGTAAATACAGCTCAAAACTCTGTCGAAATACTCAGCAGTTCTCAAAACATTACCCGTCGGCTTCAGCTCCTCTGGTGGACGAATATTATTCATTTTTTGTCTTTTCTTCAACAACTCCTGGTACCATGTGTTGAGTTGATTCTCACACAGAGTGCCATTTCTTCACCTACCTTTATCATCAGTCATATACAAGCGCCCCCTTGTGGCTCATTCTTATCAGTACAGAATTGAACTGTATGCCTGAGAAACGCATAATATTGGCCCTTTAATTAAAACATGAAATTAATTCATATTTCATTACGTAAATTCAGTACAGAATATCTTAAAAGTGAATAAATAATAATGAAATGAGCTTTACCAGCTCACATGTATTTTTCATTTCAGCCTGACTCCTCTTGTAACCAGAGTGGCAGTGTGTGTACCTACCATCCTGGTTGTGTTCACTGTGTCAGAGCAGTTCAGGCCAGGTAGGAAAAACAAAACTACAGGTTAAATATTTATATTAAATTATAATAAATTATAAAATAAAGCATCAAAATGTAACACTAAAGTTCAGTTTTCAGGAGTTTTGTTCATGTGTTTTCAGTCCCAGGCATGGGTCGGGGCAGCAGTGTTGCTACGACGGCGCCGGCGCTCTGGTTCTGACAGGAGACTCAGCCGGCGGCAGCACCCCAGACAGGGCTCACGAATGGGGGGCCCCTCCGTACGGAGAGCCCCCTCGGATACCTGGGTATTCCCACTGGCTTTACGATGTCACGAGTTTTGTTCACTGCTGCTGGTGGTCTGACCTCTGCCACCTTTACTTCAAACATCGACCTTCAAGCGGATGTCGCAAATACCGGCCGCCGAGCGCAGGTTTGACCCTAAATTATATCAGGTGTATTTACAGACAGCTAGGAGATTAAATCACATTGTTTTTTGCATTTTATTGGTTATTTATTGTTGATCAGGTGTATTTACAGACAGTTAGGAGATTAAATCACATTGTTTTTATGTTTTATTGGTTATTTATTGTCGATCAGGTGTATTTACAGACAGCTAGGAGATTAAATCACTTTGTTTTTTGCTTTTTATTGGCTATTTATTGTCTATCATGTGTCTTTACAAACAGCTAGGACATTAAATCACTTTGTTTTTTATGTTTTATTGGTTATTTATTGTTGATCAGGTGTCTTTACAAACAGCTAGGAGATTAAATCCCTTTGTTTTTTATGTTTTATTGGTTATTTATTGTTGACCAGGCGTGTTTACAAACAGCTAGGAGATTAAATCACTTTGTTTTTTTATGTTATGTTGGTTATTTATTGTTGATCAGGTTTATTTACAAACAGCTAGGAGATTAAATCACTTTGTTTTTTGCATTTTATTGGTTATTTATTGTTGACCAGGCGTGTTTACAAACAGCTAGGAGATTAAATCACTTTGTTTTTTTATGTTATGTTGGTTATTTATTGTTGATCAGGTTTATTTACAAACAGCTAGGAGATTAAATCACTTTGTTTTTTGCATTTTATTTGGTTATTTATTGTTGATCAGATTTATTTACAAACAGCTAGGAGATTAAATCACTTTGTTTTTTGCATTTTATTTGGTTATTTATTGTTGATCAGGTATATTTACAAACAGCTAGGAGATTAAATCACTTTGTTTTTTGCATTTTATTTGGTTATTTATTGTTGATCAGGCGTGTTTACAAACAGCTAGGAGATTAAATCACTTTGTTTTTTGCATTTTATTGGTTATTTATTGTTGATC